ATATATATATATATATATATATATATATATATATATATATATATATATACTAGTTAGTGTTTGTGCCTGAAGACACAGAGTAATAAAAAAAATGATCAACAATAAATATATTTATATTCACATCTAAAATTAAATCACAAATATAAAGAAGAAAGAAGGAAATTTAAGCACTGATTATAATAGGAGTGAGTGATGATAGTGGTGTTGGGTGGTAGTGGCAATGGTGGGGTGGCGGCAGTGGCGATGTCAGTGGTGATGGTAGTGGTGAGGCGATAGAGGTAGTGATGGTAGGGATGATAATTGGATAGTGGCGGTGGTGGCGTGGAAATGACAGTTGTGGCGATGATGGAGGTAGTGGGGATGATGCTGGTCAGGTGGCAGCAGTAGTAATAGTAATGATGGAGGTAGTAGGGGACAGCGGTAGTTGTTGTGAAAGAAATGGTGGTAGGGTGACTGCGACGGTGGTGGTAGGATAGTGGTGGTGGTGGGGGTGGAGGTGATGATGTGATGGTAAAAGGTGATATGATAACAACAACGGTGATAATAGTGGTGGGTTGGTTGGTGACATTGGTGGTGGTGGTGAGGTGGCGATAATGGAGGTGGTAATAGTAGTGGTGATGATGGTGGGGGGTGGGGTCATGGTGGTGGTTTTAAATATTATTTTTTAAAAATATTGATGAGAAATTATAAATATTAAAAATACTTTTAAAAAATCAATTCAAATACACTTTTAGGGGGTTATTTTTTTTTATTAAATTTAGAGTATTAATATTAATTGTTAGATTAACTTTAAAAAAAAATTTAAATATAAATAACAAAAGTCATTTTATTTATTTTTAAAATTTAAATTATAAAATATTTTATTATATAAATAAACAGACGACACGTCTCTGGTCTCTGTTCTGCATTCAGCAATCATTCACGTACTGATACAGAGTGTTTGAGGCCCACTATGGACATGATTTTCCCTAACAAACAAAGCAATAAACTAAACCATCAGCAGCGACACGGTCCCACGCACCCACCCACCCACCAGTGAGGATGGGCCTCATTTTGATTGAAACCTATATTAATGTCGTTTAAAGTCACTTTCATCCAAAGTTGATCGTAAAAAGTTATATCATTAATGCACTTATCACTCTTTTTCTTTTTTAATTAATTAATTAATCCATTTACAACTTATAACACTGTTGATTATCCTATAACAATTAACACGGTAGTATATCCCTATATATCTAGTGACTTCAATCCAGAAATGGGCAATGCTCCATTAAGTGTAAGGCAATCTTTCGACTACCACACACGATTTCCAAAGCAAATTTGACAAGTCGAAGCTAATGGGCCTGTTTTTGAAAAAGTCCAATTTTAGGTCAAAATAACTGTATAGATTTTACCTAATAGTTTCAAAAATATAAATTTTATTTTTTTTTACATTATTAATAATATTTTATAAATATAATAAATTAAAAAAATTACGAAAGATCCGCCGCAACACGAAACCCCAAAAAGCTAGAAGAAAAATTTATAAAATTAATTTCTTAAATCAACCTAAATAAATTCTTTTTGGTCCAAAAAACTACTACATAAATTACTAAAAAAGTCAAGGTCTAAACGAATTTATCTTATTTTATTTTAAAATCCTTAAAAACTAGTTATTTAAGTTAACTCCAAACAGATCCAATATCTGAGAATTTCACACTTTGAGAGAGAGAGAGAGAGAGAGAGAGAGTCTCTCTATCCCAACTCCAATCCTCTCTAATTCTCGAGTTAATTCTCTCAATAGATCATCCGCGGTGAATTCAAATTGAACATACTGTGTCCTCAACACTCTAATGTTCCATAAGGAATCCTTGGCCATCTCAACTTCAGTCATTCTTCTTCACCTTCACCGAATATTCAGCAACAATGCTGCATTAATGCATCTAGGACTAGGATAAAACTGGCCGAACTTGCAGACAGAAATAATGAATATGAATAACAGCAAATGCCCACAATGTATCTATTAAATAAGTCAACAACCACCCCGATGTATTCGATTCCAGTCACCATCCATCTAAAAATAAAATCAACTTCATAGCCGACTAGCCTTTTGCTACTTCAGGGAAATCGATCTCAATCTTTTATGATTGATCATGTCTTTTAAAATTATAATTTACATCCCAAAAAAATTATAAATTTGCGTTAAAAAATTATAAATTTTAAGACTGATACCGCCACGGTACCATTTCCTTTCCCTAATTTCAAAGCATGTCTTTGAGCATCTACGTTCAACAGTCACATGCCACTGTCCTGGGAACCCTAACCTTCAAGAAGCATATGGCCTTAAGTGTCAGGTCAACAGATATTCATCTTTCACCTCACATAAGCACATAACATGCCCAAATTAACACAAAGACTATTGAATTTAGAAACTTTAGCTGAACTAAAGCATCTTATGTATTGTAAAGAATAGACTAGCAGTTTTGTACATTCACAATTTTTTTTTCTAGTGATTGTTCGTCAGTGGAACTGGGAAGGTCCTTGCAAGAAAGTTCAATGGCCATAAATTAACAAATTAATAAGAAATATAGCACTAAGAATCAAAATAAACAAGGTGAAATACAAGAATAACAGACCTAGTGTGCGATCATCACTTTAATAAGTGAAGAAAGTATGCTCTCTTTTCCTGAGAGTTCATCTTGCTCTAGTATTTTCCTCTT